AATGTTGTTTGTGTGGAAGTGTTGGTTGGTTATTGTCGTTTGTTTGTTTGTTCTCTGGTTGATCACTCAGATATCTGAAATAACCCACTGAAGTTATCCCTTTATTAATATTGGTTGTGTTTTGTTCACTTCATATCACTCACCACTGTAAACAGTCATTTGACGAAGTTTACATGTGATCATTTGAGTTACAGTAGACTGGAAGTAGGTCAGTTTCGTGTTGTCTACCAGTCAGTCAGTCAGTCAGCCAGTCAGCCAGTCAGTCAGTAAATCAATCAATCAATGAATCTGTTTCACAATATATTGTTTCTCTGTGGTTAGTTGGTAGCTTTGAGACATTAGAAGGGGATGTAGAGGACGAAATGCGTCGGTGTTGTCTGATTTTTATTATCCCTATCCGTCTGTTATTCCTTTTAAATGGAATCGATAGATAGACTGGTGAAGACTGGACTTAATAGTTATATTGTTTACTTTGTGACAAGAAGTTTGTGGTGAGAACAGCAGAGCATAGTTAGGCGATTGAGTGGACTGACTGACTCTGACCCTTCTCGATCCGTTGTGATTCCAGTATTTGTATAGAATTGTTTTGTAAGAGAGTGGATATGCTTATGTAAATAGGATGGCCTAATCTTTTGTACTGTTTCACAATTTTCGCATTGACTATTGGGGATGGATGCATGAAGTTTACTCTACCTCGAAGTTCACATAAGCAACTGTTTGTTCTCTCATTGATCTGTTATCATTATGGTGTAACATAATAAACAGGCCTACACGCTTGCATTTCACTTAACTGAGTTATACACTTGTCTTCGTTCTGTGATGTTTCAGTATTCAGTGACAATATTCATAAGGTTGTAGTTGTGTGTGTATGCGTGTGTGTGAACTCGTCTACTACTACTAAGTTTTTGTGGTGCACGCATCATTCAACCTGCCTACTACTTACTTATGCATGAAAATGTTCGTTTTATCTCATTCAAGTTTATTCGTACGAACTGCTAATAATCACTACCACCACGCTGTGTCTCTCCTCCCTCTGTGTGTTTTTCTGTGGTCGCCACATTCTAGTTTTATTGTCCACTTATTCTCTTTTCGATTCACCTGTATTCTCGTGTGTATATAACTGTGAGTTTGTGTGTGCGTGTATGTGTTCGAGCTAGTGTACTACCGTTAGGGTGGTGGTAGCGTTTCATTCACATTATCGATGACAGACATATTCAATGCATAAAGTGTGTTGGATAATGAGATTTGTGTTCTTATAATTGTGTTATAGTTGGTTGGTTAAGCAGGCAGATAGGCGAGCAGGTGAGCTTTGAAAATTGTCAGGTTGATGGGAGGTGTATTAGATAAGAGGAGATCTTCGATTTTGTTTATGTGTGTCAGGATAAGTAAGGTAAGACAGGATTTCAGTACACTGAAGTGAGTATGAAGATCCACAGAGCGTAGCACAAGTGGCAAGATCATAATTGTCAATAGTAACATGCGATCACGGAAAGTGTTTTCGTTGGGTTGTGGACTACTATCAACATGTACGCTGTTTTGAGTGTGAAGATGAGATGGCCAGCCAGACGGAACTCTGGTTGTGACCCAGTCTGGAATCTCCTACCACCAAACAAATGTACGTGAAGAAATGGAGATGGATTGGAAGTACACTGAGAAGACATCTAAATAATAGTCGGTTGAGTGGAATGGTAATTGGATGCGGAGGGTTGTGTGTGTGTGTGTGTGACATAGTGAATATCAAGTGAGGGTGGGATGACAGTGTGTTGGTAGTCGTGGAGCTGGTTGAAAATGGTGAGAATGTGCCACTGAAGCCCTATGCTCCAATAGGTGGAACCCCAGGAAGGAATGATAATCGACTTGAAGTGAATAGAATTTGTAGCCTCCTACCCTTGGTTCTTGTCATAACTCAGACTACATAAAATTAGACTGATTACTTCTTATTCCTGCAGGTGTAGTTCGTGTGTGTATGTGTGTGAATTGATTGGAGTGTAGTTCGACGATTTGTTCAGATTGATTCATTATAAAATAGCTTTCATTGTGAGGTGAAAAATACTTGAAAGAAATATGAAGTGAAGTGGTTGATCACGCTTTTTGTTTCGGAAAATTGAATCAGAGTACGCGTTGTCAGTTGGTCACTGTGTTGTGAATTTCAGTCGTTGTCGTCTGGATTCTAAGGCTAATCTCAGTCTATCGACGGTGGTTTGTTTCGTGTGAATTTTATATTGTCACACTTTGGGTTGTCAGTAATTTCACTAGGACTTCATATTGAGCATTGAATTACTCGTCTGCACTTGTTTGTAACGTTGGTGTGTGTGTGTGTAATTTGTCTTCATATATGAAAATATTGAACTATTTATTTATTTATAATGAATTAGACATGACCTTTTGATTTGTGAATTCAGATGCACACACTTGGTTGTTTTATTTTAATTCACTAGTGTGCTGTGTAGATGCTCACCAGTCAAAATAAACAAAGGGTGAATAATAATCATAATAATAATGATGATGATAGTAATAGTCCATTAGGTCATATTTGTCTGTGTTTGTGTGTTCGACTTGAATGTTACTAGAATCGGAATAGTCGAGAATTATGTAGCGCACATTTTGTATGAATAGTTGTATTCTGGTCGAACAGTATATGGATGATTAATAATAGATTAAAGGTGGTACAATCTTAGTTTTGTGATTCAATGAGCATGTTGCATGATCTGCAGAATATTTCTTTTCAGGAGGGTAATCGTTATTTTGAGTGTCACTGGTTGAAATCTGTTGACCAACTGTTCAGTGTTTATCTATCAGTTGTTGTGCAATGACATGATTTGACATTCAACTATGGTGAGTGTCCACGGCTTCATGCTTTAATTTTTTTCTTGAGTATGCGTATCATGGGAATTGAGAAAATTCTACTCATCACGTTCTGTGTAAGTTGTTGTTAGCGTGTTCTAAGTGGTGGCCACATACCATTGGTGGTGGTATTCGACATATACTACCTTTGTCTCTGAGATTTATTCGATGCGTCAGTGAGTGAAACAGTGTATGTGTGGAGAGAGAGAGAGAGATAGGCTTTAGAAGTCGAGTTGTGTAACAAATGAAATTACAGAAGTCTTAGCCAAGTTTTACACTGGTTTTGCTTGATCGGCTGGTTGGTTGCTTGTGTGTGTGTGTGTGTGGGTGTGGGTGGGGCGGTAAGTAGAGACACTTGTTAGCCAATTTCATGTATACATGTACTAATCGTGTGGTTGATTGTAAATCGAAGGTCGAGTCTGAGGATGGTTATTCACCTTTGATATTTTGTTTTTGATGGGTGTGTCTGAATGGGACGAAATGCGCCTGCTTATTTCGATAGTGATTCACTGTGACATGTGTGTTTGGTAAATTGCAATAAAGGTGTCGAACTGACTGCTTCAAATAGTAGGCATTTGTTTACGTCATTGGCCAGGAGTAGTATTCGTGTGGTTGTGAATGAGCTGTTTTTACATTCTGTGCAGACGATATATAAGTGTGTGAGTAAGCTATTTAAATTCAATCGTCATGTTAATAATGATTGGGAGTGGATGAATTGGTGGTAGGAGAATTTCGTGTGCTAATAGTCAATGTGAATATATCACCACACATATCCTACTGTGAACCGTGACTGACAGGAAAGTTTTATTGTTAAACGTTAATCTACTGATAAGTGGGATAGAGTAGTTAATCTTTGATGTTGTCGAAACTTGCAGTTTACGTGTTTTGTATGTAGTACGCCACGAATGTTTATATTTTGCCGATTTTCTCCATCTTGGTGTGTTGAAAGTATGCTTAGAGGTATACACTTTGTTTGTCTGACTGGAATCCTTGTAGTTGTTGAAGTAAGGCAAGTCACATATATACAGAAATATGTACGTATGTCTGCGTTATAATAATATTCATGGATAATCCCCACCCATGCATTAATGAAAAGAAAACACGTAGTTCAGCAAACAGTCTCTTTTCGTCGACGAATTCATTTTCTTAGCTGTACAATCGGAAATATATTTGTGTTATTTTGTATGTATGTATGTACGTACATTAACTTTGTCAAACAAAATCACAATTGATTATGGTTATTTTAACTAAACGAGTGAAGATTGGTAATTGGAGTTACGTAATACAAAATCAGTCATGAAAGTTAGATGTTAATGAAATTAGGGTAGTAACAAAGGTGTTCAGTTGTCACAAACAGTTGTTAAAAAAGAAGTTATGTAATTAATACGAATAGTTTGATGATTGAGTTTTACTCAGGATACACATAGGAACAAAATAGAGAATACGAAATTACGTAAGGTTTCTAAATGAATACAATAATTATAAGCAATTAATGAACAGGCGAACAAACAAAATTAGGTCATCAAAATCAACAAATTTGTTACCATGACAGTAGAAGTGGTTGAGTAATTGTCTCTTGTATGCACAGCTCTGGTTTTTCTATTTGAATGGCTAGAGCATCAGCGATACAAAGAAAACGAAAGCGTATTCCCTTTGATCGGTTATTCTTGACTCTGTAGATTACTTTGAAGCAGGAGGCGTTTGTTGAAATGGAATGATCAGTGTTAACCAGGTGTTCATTAACCGCCTTCCTCATTGCACAACTATTGCCTTTTCGCAACCATGCTCTTGAATGCTCTTGGACACGATTCGTGTCGAACGACCGATGTATCTGGCTTCATTAACATCTAACTTTCATGACTGATTTTGTATTACGTAACTCCAATTACCAATCTTCACTCGTTTAGTTAAAATAACCATAATCAATTGTGATTTTGTTTGACAAAGTTAATGTACGTACATACATACATACATACAAAATAACACAAATATATTTCCGATTGTACAGCTAAGAAAATGAATTCGTCGACGAAAAGAGACTGTTTGCTGAACTACGTGTTTTGTTTTATAGTAATATGTTGAATAATTTCTTCTATTTCTATCTATCTGCATAATGAATTTCTCGTGACGAACTGACGTGATCCATGTTGGTGCAGAGCGTGAGTATATATGCCTGTTTACTTTTTGTTGTTACTTTTAGTGATGTGTTTCTCTTTTTTTATTTTTTTGGTTCATGTGTGTAGCGTTTTCCTGCCAAAGGAAGATGTATATACCACAACGTAACGATGAAAAGGTGTTTTCCTTTTTTCTCAAACAGATATAAGACTATACTGATGTTGTTCATAGTTTAGTCAGGATGAAAGTGAAAAGTGGTTGGTTGGATGTCATGCAATGTAGACTATGCAGGTGTTATGTGAATTTTGTAGTCATATGTGGTTTAAAGTATTTGCCTATACGGTATGCATAGTTTGTTTGCACATTCTTATTTTATCCATTCTTGAAGTGATATGTAGTGATTTCGAGTCTTACACATGGTGAGCATCACTGTGTGGAGACTGGAGCTGACTCGATCTGACAATTGCACATAGAGGGAAGTGCGCGTCCTGGTGTCCGTTTCCAGCTGTCTTTATCATCATCATCATCATCAAATGAAATACTTTGGTTATGCATTATGCAAGTGGTTCAAAGTTGTGTAAGGTCATGTCTGCGAAGCGATGTGAAGGTGTTTTAGATTGGTTGCTGTCGATTGATGTGTAGGCATGCATTATGTGATATAATGCCTAGCTGTAAGACTTCACCAAAGGAGTTGGTTATTTTGACTTGAAGTTCACTTCTCTGGATGCTTTTCGTTAATTAGTAGTAGTTGAGTGTCTAGCGATCGGTAAATTGACTTTCATCCATGTTTCAGTTGAATTAATTGAGAATGTTTGTTATTGTGACTTTTTTTTTAGGGACGTACGCCATTGCACATTGCAGTTGTTCATTCACAGCGAGCTATTATCAGGGTTTTGATAGAAGATTATAGTAAGTGTAAATCATTTGATAATTTCATGATAAAAATCTGCTTACTGACACTTAATTCATTCATCACATAGTCTATTGTTTAGACATACATTGTAATCATCTTCTCACTGATGACGAAGTTGAAAGTATTCGTCTTTTGTTGGTTAACTGAATTGTGAGTACATTGTGTAGTAGTGAGTGTTTGACAAGTCAACACATTGTGAGTATTTTTTCTCAATTGGTTAAATCATTGTAGACCTAACAGAGTTCAAATAATATGGATGTGGATTGCTGTTAGTCGTCTATTGAAACATCACCAAAACAGAGAGAGAGACGTGTTACATTTCCCAAATCATAAGAAGTATTATTTTGCGAATAGTACTGATCACTTACTTGCTTAATCATACTAATAGATGCTATAATGCTGGTGTGTGTGTGTGTGTTTGTGTGGCGATGTATGAAAACTACTCAACTAGGAGGTAAGGAGGAAGTTTGAACTTACGACTTTCGTTCAGTAGTACGTTGGAGGTGTGTGTGGCTCATTGGCATTAGGATTTGTGTATAGGTCATGATCTGGTACATGGGAAATCTGTTCCGATTGATTGAGTTCAAATGACTACTAAGTGAATTCGAACAGTCGAATATGATTAGATGCCTTGAAATATGATTTTCGACTCCGTTATCAAGCATGTGAAAATAATGTGTACTGACTGATTGACTAAGTAGCTTTGTTATTATTATTATTATTGTTATTGTGACATGGCACGGATGAAATGTATTGACAGAATTACTTCACTTTTTCAGTTGATCAATGGGCATAATGTGGTGGTGCTCTCTCTCTCTCTCTGTCTGTCTGTCTGTTTGACTAGTTGTGAAGTAAGACTGTCACGTATACTGGTAAGCATGGGATGTCTGTCTGTTTTCGACATAGAAATTTGCACCGATGTGCGACAGTTCGAGTCGCCACACTCCCTCCTTGTAGCACATAAAGCAAGCGAAGAAAGTTGAGGAAATGCATAATATAGAGAGACAGTAAACAGAGGTGTTAGGCAAAGGAATAGTAACAACGAACGAAGAACAATATAGTTTCATTGGAAATCATAAGTCATAGGGAGTGGATGCATCTGCGCCAGCCATTGAGAACGACTTTGAGCGATATCACTAAGTATGTGATAGGGATCTGATTGTTTGTGTACGTACGTGTGTGTTCGTTTTATTTCCGCTTTTCTTGTCTATCACCAGGAGCTGATAATGATATAATGGATTATTCTGGTTATTACCCATATATGCTGCTGTCGGATGACTTGAAGATTGAATTTGAGCGTAAGTTAATTTTTGTTTTTCTGGGGTATAATAATAATAATAATAATAGTAATTATTATTATTATTATTATTATTATTATCATCATCATCATGACCATCATCGCTGTTTTGGTCTTTGGTATTTTGTTATATCTGAATTGTGTTATTTCTGTGCATTGTTTTGAATGCCTCCTTTATGAATTTAGACACTGTTTGTGTAGATTATACTGTTTGACTGTGGTGTCTAACGGTTTCCGCATTGGACCGGTACAACCGACTCGGGACATCCTTGAATCATTAGGGGAGATCATTGTTGTTGTTGTTGGTGGTGGTGGTGGTGTTGTCGGTGTTATCTTAGTTAGAGTTAGCATACGTTTGTCACACAATCAGTCCCGTTGAATAATTTGAAGACAACAATCTTCATATGAAGAGTAATAAAATGTTTGCAAGTGCAACAGCCAATCACCTTGTTAACATGTAGGGATATTCACTCGAAATCAGTTAATCCTTCAAAACAACGAATATGTAGAGAAAGCCGTGACTACTTCGCTTAAAAAAAGACATCATTAGTATCAGACGATTTCAAGGTGATCTGTGTATACAGAAAGATGGTGTTATCAATCGCACACTACTCTGTTAACTAGATGCATCTGTTCTTTTTGTGTCTCTTTGTTTTTGTTTGTTCACCCTTGTATGGATTACAACTCACTGAGCCGAGCTGATTATCGATCTCCTAATTTCTTCACTTAGTTGATTGTTTTGCATTCATCTCACTGTCACCTTTCGAAGTTCTCATCCCACCGTGTATAAATAAACTCTGACTGTTAAAATCACCAACTATCCTGTATTCATATTTCCTGTTGCATTGAGAACACCGAGGATTGAGTTGTAATTTTCTTTGTTATACCCCTAAGTAATGTTTTTTAATCAGTATTTCTCTGTTCTGCTTAATATGGTTAAGGCAAATCGGAATTTACTGCTAACTGGGATGAATAGAAATTCATGGGTGGCGAGAAAGTTTCCAGCTCGTAGCTTAGTGTCTGTTGTTTTCAGTGAGAACTAGTCTTAAGTTAGTCAGCCAGTCGGTCTTGGTTTTACGAGTGTCAGTTGTGAGGAGAAATGCTCGCTACTGATGACATTGGCTAGTTAGTTAGTTAGTAGTTGTGGTACATCGTTAGTCGGCAGAAGTTGAAATTTATGGGCTGGCTGTTGTGTTGGTTTGCAGTGGCAGAATGGTCTACAGGTCTCTGGCTCCCTCGCTCGCCTCGTATCCGGACGGTTCTGAGTTCGAACCGTGGAAGTGAGTGCGTACTGATGAAGACTCTCAAACTAAGAGGACGGAAACAGCTCCTGATGAAATGCTGATCCCTTTAAATTATTGATTGTTAGTTTTCTATTTCTAACGGTCGTCATCGCGTTGCTATTTCTGTCCCCTTTTGAATTGTTCTTTTTTCTCTCCTTTGTTTCTTTTGTAATGTATATCTGAGTAATATCGGTAAGTGAAATAAGAGGAAGGAGGTGATAATGTTTACGTTTTTATCTAAGAAAATAGAATAAGTGATTGTTTTGTTTTCTAGCTTGTGCGTAAGGTGCATTGTTTTTCTATCCGCTTTGTTACTTGACTACTTCTCGTTGCTAAGGTTATTTTGTCCATGAGAGTGTGTGAGATGGTCACCAATGGCTTCAGCGTGTGTGGAGGGGGGGAGGGGTATGGTGGTGTGAGGAGAGGGAGGAAACTGTTGTTTGTAAAAGTCAGTTAACATTAGTTTTGTGTCCAAAGTTTGCCGCCTGTGGCTGTTGTCATTATTTATGGATAGTTAGTCAGTGGACTGCTTTAGTTATGCGTGTTACACTTGACTGGGTCGACTAAGTCAAGTGTGACAATTCAACTGTGAAACTATCATTACAACATTATTGTCTTTGTTGTTCCTACTTCCTTTTATGTATGTATTTGTGTGTGTGTGTATGTGTGTGTGCCTGAGTGTCAGTGTATGCATAGCATATTGGTGTGTACTTGTTTCTGTGTCTCTACGATGTTTAACCTGTCTATTTACGTATTTTAACTTTCATCATAGCAAACTCAGGGTTTGTGTGTGTGTGTGCGTGTATGTTTATTAAGTAATTGTAATATTAATACTGATATGATAATAATAATAATAATAATAGTAAGATGGAAACAGTTTAGATGTAGATAAGTGGAGGCTGTGAAGAAGTAAGAGATTGAGAGAGTGACACAGTCAATGGTATTTTGTTTCAATCGTTCCAGCTTAAATGACTTCCCTCCTTGTTTTTTGCTTTCGCTGTTGCCTGTGTGAATCCATCCACCTTGTTATAAAAGATCACCTCTTTTTTGTTGTTGTTGTATTTCACAGTTAACTTTCCGTTAATTTGTTTTCCACTTCTGAGTTTCTTATATTTTTTCCAGTTTTCTTTCAATTGAAGAGAATAATACTAATTGCAATCAATGTTTGCTTGATTTTGTAGAAATGGATTGTCAGTGACAGGAGAGAGAGGAAAGAGAGAGAGAGAAAGAATTCTGTTTGCTCCTTATCAACTTCAGGATTAAATTCTTTAAAATACTGTTTAGAAAGGTGGGATAGAGATAGTCTACATGAATGTCTAGCTAGAGAGTAGTGAGAATAACTTTTCTTCAATGAGGTTTGTTTGTGTTTATAGCAGACGACGAGGTTACTGTGTCTAGAAAATGAAACATTCGATTCTGACGTAACTGAAGAATTTTTGGGTGTATTATGATAGTGTCTTATCTTATAGAAGACTGTTTTGTCAGTGAGTATTATACCCGTAAGAAAGAATAAGGTCATTTTAATGAGTGTGCAATAAATGTGTGGTAAAACGCGAATGAATGGTCATGCTTTAGTCTAACTTGAGTCAATGACAGTTTTCGCTTACCAACTCCACAGTCTTTTTAATCGCAGGTAGAATGTACAACGTTAATCTACGAAACACAAGCTGTCCATCTGAAGTGAATTCACTAGCACCCTTATTTGAAGAGAAGAGATTGTGATAAATGTGTGATCATTTAATGGATCTTTGGAGAGTAATCTAAACGGACGTGTGTGTGTGTGTGTAAGTGTGACACTTTTCGTGGTAGAAGTGAAACGAAAGCTTCTTAAAGGCAAGCTGACAGAAAATCTTGTCAGTGATATTTGAGTAGTAGTGGGTGACGAAGTCTAGTAAATGATATAATATCGGATTACCTACGCAATAGAGTATGCTGTATGATGTAGCTTATCGTTATTTTGGATATGGTTAGTGAAGTGATGAAATACGTGAAGATTAGAAGATTTCTGTTCTATGTGCCTTGGTTGATGCTTTTTGAGAAAAGGTGATCTATTATGACTGCTCTTAAGATTTCAACTATACAGCTTCATTTTCCATTCAGTTCGATTAATGGGTGGTGTTATTTCGGAGGGAGGGAGGTGTAGTAAATGTGGCATGTTTTTTGAACCTGCATGTTTTCAGAGGAGACTTCTGTGTGAAATGGAATCATTACACGAATAGTGGCGATATTACAGATGTGTTGTCTAAGTAGGTTCTGATGTCAATTGATGAAGTTTATTCGCTGGTGATTGTAGTTTTAGCCAACACTAACTCATGAGGCTTCCAATAATTGAAATGTTCAAGAGAATATGATTTATAGTCAATTCAAGCAACAAAGATGGTATTCCGTCAGTATACTCGGCTTAACTTTGAGTTTGCTTTTGATTATGTCATATCTTTGAATTTCCTTATTATATGACTCAAAAGCGTTTGTTTTCTACGCTTTTATGCACATTTGTGAAGTACGTCAAGTTGAAGTGGTGCATTATTGTGCAGAGTAGTTCTTTGGAAATTCAGTTCGTGCATAAAAATAATGTAAGCGTGAGAATGGATGGCGTTTTATGCTGTTACAGTGCAGAGAGGTACTGTTTCGAATTAGTCTATACAAATAGGTTTTGTGAAAATGTTTACCGCTGTTGCTGACGTTTGTTTGATAACCAATTGGTTGTCATGCAAGAATATTGACTCATAGAATTCTGTTCCTTCCTTGCAGTCATCTAGACGACAGTTTGGTGTGTATCTGGGTTTGTATCCCCCTTTGTGGTGATGACATTCTCGTTATGTATGTATGCATGCCATATTATGATTGGTATTTTTTTGTTTAAAAATTATTCTTCATTTACAGTGTCTTGTTACTTAATGATTGTGTTTTTGTGTTCAGCTATTTTAACCTATGGTAAATTACAACGAATCCGATCAGCATGTGAGTTGTTCACCTTTCAATCTTTTAAATGTTAATTTCGAATTGGTTTTTATTTTTGTTGTGAAACTGTTAATCAGCATATATCTGGTGTATTTGGGTGCATGAGATAGTCTTGATGGTGAACAACATACCTGGCCTTGTTGGCCTAGGCTTTGTTGGCACACATCAGACAAAAGATATTTATCTATGTTTCTATGGTGATTTACGGGATCGATTAGTTGATGCAATTGACTTTCTATCACTGTGTCGTGAGTTGGTAGGTGACTACATTGATCACTGTGAATTTTTTTTGATTTTTGATTTACAGCTTGATTCCACACTGTATTTTTGGTACAAGTATGGAATTTTCAGCATGGATATCGGTAGCCCAAATTTTGCAGGCCAACCATAGATATCAGGTGTGCGCCGGCGTGGGCTCGAACCCCGGACCATGTGCATGGTGGGCGAGAGTCCTAACCACTGTGCCACCGACGCACACACATGAATGAGGTCATGGAAAAGAGACACTTGAATGGACTACTTGTCATTCTCTTGTCATATCTCCTAATCACACGAGTGGTGCAAAATTTGATGAAGTGGTTGAATACACATGGTCAGGTTGTTGGGTGTTACAGTGTTTGTGTGTATGTGTGTGTGTATAGATCAGAACTTACTGTTCAAAGTTTGTGAAGTAACTAAAAGGGATGGTGATTAGGAATCGAATACCGCGGTGTTGATTTTTGCCTGAACAACTAAGCGTTGTTGACTAGAGACAGGAGTTCACTTCTGTCTTTGTAGTTGTGGTCATAACAGTGATATGAGTGAAATTTTTCATGCTGATACCAAAAACTGAACTATTACTGACAGATTAAGAGACGAACCGAATGGAAATGTCACCGACGAGTGTGTTGAGTCTGTGAGTACTCAATGTATTTCGCTTTCTAAGCTGAACTCGTGACTTTGCTCCATTCCCTTATCCAATGGGTGTCCATGTGTCCAATTGACTGTTCCGTCAGTAAAGATACCTTTACTAAAGAAGTGTTCTGACACAGTTATGCTCAATCTGCAATTGTGGTTTACTGTTACTGTCTTGATTGGTTACATCTTAGTTCGGGTAAAAAACAGTTAGATTTTTGTGAAACTGTAGAAAGTCTTGGCTTTGATTTGTGGAATATTTCTGGGGATCGTATGTAATACACACCACCCCGGTTATCGTGGATTACTTCATATAACATTTGTATTTGCAAATGTTGTTGACATGCTGTACATGCATGTACACCACTGGAGTTGTGTTGTGTTCTATTAACTTAATATTCAGACATCAACTCTACAGTTGACGACGAAATATGGAAGGACTTTTAGCTGAGTAGACCCACACAAAACTTTTCAGTAATATTTTTGATCCAGGTTGAGTTATTTTGAAATAGCGAATTCCTACCATCGAGTAGAAAGCACAAAATGGAGACAGCGATCTATCACAGGAATCAACTGAGATTTGCTTAAGAGTACAAAAAAGTTAGATGGAAGTTGGGGAGTATATGTTGAGGATTTTGTAAGTGATAGAGTGTAGATGTGTTGGTGCCATGGTGAACGGATTTCAGCTGTGTGATTAAGATTGTACAAGGATAACTTCGTCAGTTAAGTAATCAAGTGACTCCTCACATTGTTCGGACCAGTACTAACTAGTCAACGTGTTCATTGATTATCCTTGTTAATCGAAATGGAGACAGGTTGTCCTGTGATAGTTGTACAGGGATTAGCTTGACTGAAATAGTATCTAAATCCTTTGGTTGAGTAGTCACGTGTAGACCGATCGGCGTTCAAGAGATGCAAACCAGTAAAAAGCGACCATGCTTTGAGCTCGCAAGCGAGTATGCTAATGACACTGTCAGTCTTTGGTAGACTCCTGAGAATAGACATACTTGCCGTTACCTAACACTTGGCATCTTTCTTGACCTGCAGGCATCAAACATTTGACTGAGCGGCACCATATCAATGTTTAACCTTGGAAAGAGTACAAAAGACATGTATCGCACTTATAAAGGTATTCTACTCGAACTCACTTAGTCGTGATAGAGCTGACGGGAAGATTTCATCTGAAATGAGGTGCTTTGTGTCTCCATTTTGTATAATTTCATGACGGATGTACTAATGGATGTGAATTTGATCTACTGAGAACAGCGAACTAGGAGCTGACATATTGACAGGAAAGAGTCTCGTGGACGTAGGGTATGCAGATGATATTTGCCTCCTGTTTGAAGGTATAGGCAAAATGTTCTCTTTGAATTACTCCGTGCTAAAGTTCTGGCATGTTTCACATGTGATTCGTCTGTCGTATGTCGGATGATACTGCGGTAATTATTTGCGATGACTCCTAGCTTGAAGATGGGGAGTAAAGCGGTGGAGTGTGCTGACCACTTGACTTATTTCAGAAGTCTTATTAGCTGTAAGGGACTGATTGGTGACTAAATCTCAACAAGGGCACAATTCACGTAGTCTCTTGTGTTGAAGTGATTATTGGCTATCAATGAAAGGCCGTGTGCATATGCAGCAGTTGATTCTGTCCTTCCTCATTGTTGCGAGACATTGGAGTGAGATGTGGAATGGATGAAGAGGTTAGCTGCCTTTGGTCACAAATGTTTACTTTCTTCTTGTCATTTGAAGTGATATAAAATATGGTGGGTAATATTATTAAGGTTAGGCTTGTAGAGTGTTAAAGCGTGAAGGAGGGAAAATCAGTCTATGAGGTGGTGAAGCTGAATTGATTGTGTTGGCTAAGGCCCTTGTTTTGCATAACGAGCCTTCACTTTTCTCCTCGTGCAATGTTAGCTGATAGTGGATTATGTTGGAATGGTTAAATCTAAACACATCGTTATTACATGAATTCCTTGACTGTTAGTTTATCGACGAAAGTGGTTTGAAGTGGAGGCCGTGGGAATTTTAAGACCTGATAGTTTGAGACTGTTGGTTATACAACTCAAAATTGTTCTATGTCACAGATTCATTCACTTTTGGTAGTCTTCCGAACCCATTTGGTCCTCGTATCTCTCCATGTACTTATCTTCGCTCCTATTGATTTCCTCTGATTGTACTTCTTTGGAATTTTTTTCTTTTCCCCTTTGGTTGTTGGCCGAATGAAGTGTGTCAACTTGAAATCCTACAATTTTGTGTGAAGTTGTATGTAAGAAACTCAGTCGGTCAGTGAATTGATTGTGTGATATCGTGTCTCAATTGTGCTATAGTTGATTGACTGACAGGCAATGATACAGTAATATCTACCGGATTGTTGTTTAACGATCGACTGTCAGTGTCATTTGTGAGTATTGTGACTTGTGCGTGTTAATTTAAATGTCAACTTGATTATGTGTAAGGTTTGTTTTCTGTTTCAAGTGAATATATTGAAGCGGAAACCTGTGTCTGGAGATTGTCCGAGTATTCCTACAAATAGTTGCAGTAAGAAAAATGACTCTGCTGAGCAGTCGTCTGTTGAGTTCAAAGCTCCAACTCGTCCACCCTTTAGGCCTAGACGCATAGAGAGTTTTAAAGGAGATATTTCCTCCTTCTGGCCCGCACACAGCAGTTTAAGTCAAACTTCAACACTGAAACCAATCAATCAAAATGGAATTGAGCAGGCTCGTCGACGTCCTTCAGTTTTCGAGGGTATCCTAAAATCAGCTGTTAACGCTGCACAGAATTGGAGTCCATCGTGTAGTCCTACGAAAAGTGTGTCAGAGAGGGACAGTGACGGAAAGGAACAGCACAAGGATAGCTCAAATGGAAGTGCTCCCAGCAGTAGTTCTTCGTCCAACGACGCACACGCTCGTCTAGCTCAACACTTAGATTCTATGATTTCATTGAGACGCGAACGTCAAAAACTGGCCAGTTTCAGATTAAATGATAGAAGTGCAAGTTGTGATGTTGGGTCATTGGATTCTTCTGGTTCATCTGAGTGTGATTTACCAGTGATGAATTTTCTTTCCCGAAAATCGTATACAATTGATAATCGGTCGTCCATTCCTGTAAGTAACGTAAGTTTGTTCGAATTCGTATTTCACTATGACTGATTTTATTCCGTTGAATTGATGCATCAAAATTGATTAGGAGCTCACGAAAGCCTTGAATTTCAGATGGCAGAGAATGAATTTGACTTATATTGATGTGAGCCTTCTGTGAGTAGGGGTGTTTTTTTGTGGGAAGCTTTTCAGTATCAGCCTTACTAGCGCAGCTCCATCACTGGATCGCTAGTGAACCAGAGGATATTGTGTTACTGAAGAAAATGTGGAAAGAGAGTGGATTTTCTTTGAAGAATACGGTGAATCCGTAATATTCCATCAGGTGGGTGTATCTCCTACATGACTTCAGTTAAAGCGACTTTGTAGGAAATTAATCCTGTTCACATGGTGTATAATCAGTAAAGCTTAATCGAAATTGAATTTGTTTGATTGGAGGTTATGATGGAAAAGTGGATGGTATTTCTCGATTAAGGCGAATGAGACTGTGTGTAGAAGATATCTGATATACGTGAGATAACTATAGTCGCAATTACTTACCGAGAGTATCAGTGTCCTACTTCTAACTCGGATTGACACTTTTAACACGTTGATTTACTGTGAAATGAATCTTGTTGATTGGCACACCTGATGAAGTTGTGTGGTGTTAAAATTGCTTTATGAAGCTTCGATTAGTGTATTTTGCTGTGTTGATGAATAGTTCAATGTTAGTCGACTTACCAGCTCATAGTATGAACGCCTATTCGACGCCTTGAGGTGGTTAAGACTCATTCACTGTGGGGCGGTGGTGTTGTATAGTAGTAATGTCAGGTACATCTCGTAATCTCGTAGTCATTGGAGACGGGCTTCAAAGTCAGGAATGATTGAAGTGACTGTTAAATTTGAAGTCGTAAAGCCAGCCAGACAGTGAACACTGTGAATACATAGAGTACGGTGGATAGAGTCGTGAGTATAATCTTCACGTGTGTGTATTTGATCTTGAGAAATGAGACAAGATGGAAGAAGAGGATGTGTTATAAAGTGATTTTTTAGTTAATGTAAACTTGTAAATAATTCACTGGTGAAGTCATTTAGTATGTAAGATGAGTGTGCAACATACAGTGATAAACAAATAATAACTGGCTGACATTTCTAGCACAATATGTTGTTCATGGTGATATCAGTGGATTCCCACGACTTCACAATTTCCCCACCTCATTTACCCTAATATTGACATGCATAATCGATTTGTATGTATGTAACTGGGAGAGATTATCACGTTGAATGAGAAGCTAGTGTGGTTCGTGTAAATTGTATTTTCCAGATCACTGTCGTTTCAGTATACGTTCTGTTTACCGTGTAGCGATTGCTTTCATCCATATTCTGTAGAGTGAACTCATGGTGAACATGATGATAAGATGTCCTCAAAGATGACTATTTCGATATTTAGTTATTAAGATTCAAAGTTGCCTTTTTTTCTTTTTGTCCTATTGATGTGATGGTCAGCTGTTTTTCGTCTTCATTATTGGTCATCATTTGTTTTCTGTTGTTGTTGTTGTCGTTGTTGTTTAATCTTAGAATTCGAAAAGTTCAACTCAGTCATCAGATCGTATACTACAAATACTTCTGTCGTTACTACCTGCACCACCTGCACCGACGTCATGTTTGTTGAAGAAGGAGAAGAAAAGTCAAGGAAATACAGCATATCATCGTTTAACAAACGTTTAAATAAAAATCTTCGTCGCTCTCTGTCGAATTCCTCTGCTACATATCCAACATCACCTAGTGATCAGTGTAAATTTCATTCTTTGCCTCATGGATATCATTCTTTCTCACCGACTGTCTGTACACGTCGTAAATCACCTTCGGCTACAGCATTGTTGGCTGAAACGCATGTTCGTCAATTACTGAATCCTGAATTTTGCTCACTAGTTAGACGTAAAGCGTCAAGTATTAGTCAACTGTCGATTGGGTAGGTGAATTACAATCTGAAGTAGATGTATGTGTCCATCTTTTCAACTCTCTTTTCTCTGTCTTTCTCTTCGTGAACCTTTTTCTGTGCTTTTTTTTGTTTTATTCTCTTAATTAATCATTTTCAATGTTGGCTAATGACAACCAGTGATTGTGTGATTATCGAATTCATCTTACTCATTCACAATGTCTCTGTTTGATGATTGGGTTTTTTTCCTATCTGTTAGAGATCATATAATAGATTTTTTGTGTAACTGATCGTGTTTTTTTTATGTGCATACTTCAATCATCTGATTCTACAAGTGTTACGTCTCTGTGACGACTACACAGTGGTACTTTTCGTCCTTCTGTGGTGAGAGCAGGCTGCTAGCCGATTGGTTGGCACTAATCTACGTTAAGGTCTAGGTCACTAATATGGGCCGTGAGACAATATGAACAAGGCTGAGTCAACAACCAATCACAGCAAAGTTAACGTGGCAAAATATGATTCGCAGATAGAGAACTCTATTTGTCAAGGAATCCCGAAACAACCAATCAGATGACTGCGCTTGTCTATAATAATGTAGTTGAAATATGTATAAATACGTGTTGATTTTCATAATAAAACGATCTGTTGCTTCGCCCTTGTCTTCTGTTGTTACACTTCCATATTCGGTCAGCAACAAGATGAGTTTTTATATGGTATTAATGTGTATGAATAACCCTTGCCTGCCTGCCTACGTACCTATTCGACTGTTTATCATTCTATGTTATAGGTGACATTTGCATAGAGAGAGGTGCTTCGCAGTGATAGCGGTAGAAGTGTTGCGCTATTGTCTCTTATCTTCTGGCGGCATAAGTAGTAGTCGAAGAAATGCTTGTAGACTGGCACTGCCGATCCTCAATAACCATTTGTGCGCTGTTACATGACTTCCGTGTAACCTCTCAGTTGAATAGTGTGATAATCGAGGTGGTTGGCTGCTTATTCCATATTGGAAGTGAGTGAAAAGTCTATGAAGTGAAGTAGTTGATGTGAGAGATTAATTTGATGAGGATTAGTGAGTGAGTGAGTGAGCGAGTGAGTGAGTGAGTGAGTGAATGAGTGAGTGAGTGAGTGAGTGGGTGAGTGAGTGAGTGAGTGAGTGAGTGAGTGAGTGGGTGAGTGAGTGAGTGAGTGAGTGAGTGACTATCCCGTTGATATGGATGATTACAAGGAGTGAATGTATCTATGTGGTTGTGAATCGTGTCACTAACCGTAGATTCTTAAGATCGCTAGTTAGGTACTGAGTGGGCAGTTAATAACATTCTGTATATGAATAATGTAAGAAAAGGCACAAACAGCGAAGAAAATTTTCTTTTCGACGATTCATTTTCATGAGCTGTACAATCGTAATTATAATTAAACACATAAGTTTTTGACCAATCAGATATTGGTAAACTTTGTCCTTGCAAATTCTACTACATAGTGTAAGAAGGGATGACTAATTGTAAGTTAGAAAGGAGACAGAAGTTGGCATGACCTAATAAGTGTGAGATAGTGACTAATCAATAAGCTAGTGTAGAGTGGAGAGGAACTAGTGGAAAGGTTATACAGTAGTTTTGTATAAGATGTGTGTGAAAAAACAATGTTATTAATAAACAGTAAGAAATGTAAGAAAGGGTGAAAAGTGATACTTTCATGCATTTATCTGATGGCAAAGGAACAATCAGGTTGGTATTTTCATAAAGTTCAGTTGAGGAGGCTTTATTTGTATTGTCTTGAGTGGTGGAAGAAACGTGGTTGCTGCAGCATGATCTCTTGTAATCTCATGTAATAACGCAACACAACCATCTTGGAGAGCGAAGTGCCACTTCGCGAACTGCACACCTCTTTGTGTTGTTGCATTAGTTGTTGTGCTATGAAAAATTGAACTGTGTGGTAGACGGGAGGATGGTTGATCTTTCGTATATCTAAGCCATTGAAGTAAGTGTCTCCTGATGACCTCACTCACATATTGGGCGTCGAAGTTTAAATGCATCCCCATACCTGTGGATTTCGCGTATATTGACACTAATAAGTTCGAAAAGTCTTATAAAGACAGCAGTGATGGAGTAGATGGGGTTGTTTCAATATCCTCAGCTGTAAAGCATCATATTTCGCAGGCCAGATGTGTACTCACGCTGAAAATTCCATAACTGTACCGCAAATACTCTTTGGAATAAAGCTGTTATTATTATTATTGTTAAAAATTGTATGTTTTAACTTTTATTGATGTTGGATGATACCAAATATCATAAAGATTCATGTATATCACACTCGGATACAATTCGAAATTTCATTGATGACATGAGGATTATTGAGACCCAATTTTGATGTAGAAATTTCTTCAACTGTTGTCAATTTCCTGAAATTACTTTCCACTTCAATGATGACAAGTAGATAGCGAATTCATATGCATTTTCCAACTTACATTTCACGGTTTTAAAGATTATTGTTACATTATCGTTGTGGCTGTTTGCAGACATTGGCAAAGATTAGTTTTGTTCAACTAACTGAAGGCAGCTATAATGTGAAAACTATAGAATTTAGCGTGAGATGTGTGTGACTAACCTATCCCTGTGTTGAGCATGCAACGAATGTGTGAACACTCAGAACCAGTTTTCCGCTTATTTTGGAAAATCTGAGAAATCTGTCATTAGTTCGTATTTTCTGACGCCATCGGAAAAATGATAAGCTGTTTTTGAACCAAGGTAGTTGTGATATGAGTGGCAAGACTAAGAAATGACACCGTATCCGAAATGGTTCCCTTTGCTGTTGTTAAAGCAGGAATAAGATATCAGAGATAACTATGTTGATGTCTGGCAACCAAATTATTCCGATCATGTTTCCTTTTGTTTCCGATTTGAACCTAGAGCTTCAGTTGCACCACTATTGCCTATAAGCTCTCATCGCCTCATTCTCGAACGCACAACTCGCCATTCCCATTCGGGATTCAGTCGTGGTCGTTTCAGGTGTGCTTGCTATGTTGCTCAACGGTCTTCTCAGTGTGTTTAACCCACCTTCATTTCACTTTGCATATTTCATAGGTAGACAGTAGCTTTCTGGTTTGTTAGTCGTCAGAATTCCTTGTTACTTATCGTTTCTGGTCGGATATCCGTATTGAATCTTGTTGTCATTATCCTGGATGGGATTGGTTTCCACTGCATAAAAACTTTGGTTGCTATTGGTGTCATCATGATAGCCACTACCTGAGTGTGCTCGTGTTTGTCGTTTGGGTCATTGGAGTACATAAATGACCCTCTAGTTAACAATTTGTAAAAATCTGTTTCCATTCCAACTGCTGTCACGGATTCTGAGCACTTCTATACCATATCTTATCATTTCTTTGGCCATCTGAGCAGCCTTCTGAGTTTTGAACATTGCATGTCTCCGTGTTTATCTTCAGTTTCATTGAAAGAATACACATCAAGTGACTGACTGGCTTTGTGGAGGCTTTCATCAGCCGGTGTAATTTCGCCTCTTTGATTCCGGGGAAGAATTAATTTTTGTCTTGTATTTTGTGTTTCGGAGTTTCTGTTTCCTTTGATTCATATTCTTTGTTAGAATTGCCAGCCCCATACTGATTCTCAACGGTGTTCGATACCGTTGTTTTCACCTCATGAATTTTCTTCGCGTATGTATTTTTCACTTCGATGCCGTGATATATGGCGTGTTACACGTTGCACAGGTATTGAATTTTACGACTTTCGACTACGGAATATTCACATTGGATCATGGGAATTATCAAAAGACGGTTACAGAGAGGAAAATTTTCTTTTCAATGAGGTCGTCAACTAGGCGTACATTTGTGTATCTGTGGTATGTGTATGCGAAAGTCCCCGAATTATTTCTGGTCAAAGGTTAAGTTAATAAAATAACAAGGTGTAATAAACTGGAAGATCGGACACAGAATATAGTAAGAAAGATAGATAGGTAGTAGTACTATTCTAGAGATACTTCAAGTCAAAGGTCAAGTGAATAAGATTAAAAAGTGTAGTGGAGACACAATAAGATCGTGATTACTGAAAAACTTGACTGTTTGTACAAATTACAGATTAAGGACTTAGTAATAACAAAGTAGGTAGGAATTTCGGATGCATACAAAAATAAAAGTAGCAACCAAATCTAGTACTGCATATAGGAAGTAAAAGTGTAGTAATAATAGGAAGGTTGCATAAGAAAGATAATGGGGTAATGATTATTGGTGGGACTGAGTTTTCATGATGGCCACGGTATGGACAACGGAGCTTCGATCAATGTTAGAATATGTCTACGTTGTATCCGTCTTGTTAGGTGGTATAATATATGAGTTTGTGCATCGGCGGTTCTGGGTAGAATGGTGGCTAACCATGCACGTGAGCTGGGTTCGATATTCTTCCGATGCAGTGATAAACCTCGCCTGGTTTATTAACCAGTCTTAATTGTGGAAATGGAGGATAGTTAGACATGAGGCCGGTTTCCTCACTCTGTGAAAACTACATCATCGCCACGAGAACCTGAAATCTTGAAGCCATATGTTCCTCTGCAAATGAAAAGGATGACGGGGTAAGGGAAGGAATGAGATTGTGAAAATTCGTTGGTCGAAATGGTTAGGACCTATGTTATTTCTGACAAATAGTCGCCTTTGTCGTCGAGAAATGTTAGCCGACATAGGTTTAGGCTGGTGAAAGTTAGGCGGTATCAAACCGAAACATTATATGAATCCATGACATCTTTGACTGATTGTTGGTTTAATTGAGGTGTAGGGTTCCTGGGATGGATGGGGTAGTTGAGAGACTGAGATTCAGTGGCTGGCGACTGTTGTTGGTATGGCCTAAAACCGTTCACAAAGAGACATACATTCTCTCCTTGTGATCGGTCAGATTCATTGAGTCCTCATTATTCTTCGCGGAATTATTCCGCATCGCGTAGAATTGCGTTTATCATAGTTTGTTTTTTATTTATATAGGTCATAAGAAGACTGATTCTCTTATTCCCTGTGACAGAAAAGTTGAAAAGCATATCAACTTTCATGTTCACTAAGTTCGTGCTCCGTTTCAATGGGTTAAAAACACCAATTGAGTCATGAAATGCAGCAAGGACCTTGTGACATCGAGAAGAATTGACACGTTCCTCAAGCTTTCTTTGTACACTTTCTTTTCCTACCTTGATGTGTGAGTCTAAGAATTATAGTAAGTTGAACTGTTGCATGTTTGTAGGAAGTTGTATGCTGGAAATTTAGTCCTTTTCAGTTCAGCTCGAAAATGAAGTTTAGTGCAAAGAGAGATACTTCTCGGCTTCACTATCTCTGCTAATCAGTCTTTTCATTGATGAGAAGTGTAGTCATTATTTTATGCTGTTTACTGGATGTAAGGAAAAGCGATCAGGTTGAGTGTAATCCCTATTTTAATTGATTTAGTGTTCCTTTTTGTTTGAATCACTTCTGTAGACACATGAGGAGATAGTAATATGAAGTTGATTAGAACACTCATACACACACCTACACGGACACACACACACACACACAGACGAAGTGATTTCTTCTTATCACCTGTTCAGTTTATTTTAAATTTATGTTAATCAGGTAATCAGCCACCTGTTGGTAACCTTTTTTTATCTCTCTTTCTAAATATA